CTAGTTAACATAAGCAATTTAAAGCAAAGAATCATCCAAAAGACAAATTATATTCAACTCCTATTTACATTTAATATAACATATTTTAGAGAAAAGTATATAAAAGGCAGAGGTTAAAAAAAATTACATCAGGTTTAAAAAGTTCAATATTGCATCATAAAGTCAATTAAGAGTCTGTATTTTATAAAACTAATAAAACAAATTGAAACACTTTTAGCTAACGTAAGATCATGTGACCAATAAGTCAATCAATATTATAAAGGAATTGGAATCCTACTACACTCTGCTCTTCATGCTGTCTAGTTAGAATAATTGTATTGTCCACATAGCTGGTGATTTGTGTGGAGATTTTCACTATATACAAATAATTACAAATTAATCCTCTCCTTCTAATTTAATCTTTCTGATTTGGTGATTATTGCCCTCTAGAACAACACTAAAATTTAAAAAGAAATAAAGAACTACTATATATATATATATATACCTTTTTCCCTTATCAGCTGCATGAGTATTTGCTTCTTTTTGTACTAAAAATTCCACCATTTGCTGTTTTTTTTCATTTATAGCAAGCAAAAGTGGTGTGAAGTCATCCTGTAAAATACCAAAAACAATTTATAATTTACAAAAGTACATATATCTCAACTGAATTAAAAATCTTAGGAAATATGCTATAAACTAAAGCATATAATACAGAAAGATAATAAAAAGTAGTCCTTTACTTTCACCCCCCTGTGCTCTCTCATGTGCTGTTTGTTCCTTGTCTTTAAGGCTTCCCCTCCTATTTGCTTCGACACCAGATTAACTTCAAATTCATTTCCTGAAACTCACTTCTAACTGTTACTATTTTTCAAGGATCTTTGCTTCTATCACAGCATTTATAATGGTATATTGTATTCAGAACTCTACTGCTCGGCCTTGTTTTTCCAGGTCTCCCAAGTTTTCTGCCTGTAACAGGGTACAGTTACCACTTTTCAATTATTCTCTATTAATGGAAAATATTTGAGTTTTCCTTCTCAGACAGGTTTTTATCTTATACGGGTTCCTGCTTTCACAGGTTTTATTATAGTAATAAATGTTTACTGTTAATGATCAAAATGGTTATCTCTAGAATAGTACTGTACTCCAATAAAAGAGTACATGGTCATCTATGTTTGAGAAATATTACAAAACTGCTTTATAAGCTCAGGACCAATGACATCTGTTTAACTTTGCTTAATCCACATCTGAAAATACTTTTTGTCTAACATTTGAAGATTTAGAGTTCCAGACATACAGTTTGGACAGCCTTTAGGTTATACAGACTCATCTGATTCAATTCTATAGTGTCAGGATTCCAGATGCCAAGTACAAGATGAAAGATTTTTATCTTAGCTGTTACAAAGTGCAGTGCTAAAGTTTATTCTTCCATTATAATAAATTCCTGGGGCCCTAATAAATAATTTTCAAGTTTCTTTTTATATTTATTTCTATTATGCTTTCCACTTTAATTGTTACTTCATATTATTTTCTATAGGCAAAATATAAATTAGAATTTAAATATAAGGGTTAATAAAAATTCTAATACTGCTCTATACAGATTATTTTTAGCATAATACAACCCATTAAATATCTTCATACTTAGCAGAATGATACAATATTGTCTATAATATGCATAAACCATCTACCTATAACTATGATCGCTGTTGTTGTTGTTGTTATGTGCCGTCGAGTCGGACCCGACTCACAGCGACCCCTCCTTGGGTGTCCGAGGCAGTATTACTATGGAAGTAGATTGCCCCATCTTCCTTCCAAGGAGTGACTGGTGGGTTTGAACCACCAGCCTTCTGGTTAGCAGTCAAATGCCTTAGCCACCACGCTACCAGAGCTCCTTATAAGTATGATTAATCTAATGATATTTATAAACATTCCAATGAGAATATGATTATTAACAGTACATTAAAAATGTTTTGTTTTTGTTTGTTTGTTTGGGTTTTTTTAGGAGCTCTGGTAGTGTAGTGCCTAAGGCACTTGTCTGGTAACCAGAAGGCTGGTGGTTCAAATCCACCAGCCACTCCTTGGAAGGAAGGTTGGGCAATCTACTTCCATAGCAATACTGCCTCAGAAACCCAAGGAGGGGTCACTATGAGTCAGGTTCTACTCAACAGCACATAACAACAACAAAAAAGTTTTTTAAAAATCACTTTCTAGCATAACCCAAAAACCACAAACAGCAGAAGATAAACTAGATGAATGGAACCTTCTGAAAATTAAACTTTTATGTACTTCAAAAGACTTCTCCAAAAGAGTAAAAAGAGAACCTACAGATTGGGAAAAACTATTTGGCAGTGACATATCTGACAAGGGAGTTATCTCTAGAATTTACAGAAAACGCTAACACCTCAACAACAAAAAGATTAACAATCCAATTAAAAAAAATGGGCAGAAAACATGAATAGACACACTTCACCAAAGAGGATATTCAGGTGGCCAAACAAACACATGAAGAAATGTTCACAATCATTAGCCATTAGAGAGATGTAAATCAAAACAACAATGAGATACCATCTGGCCCCAACACTAACAGCGAAGTTCAACAAGAAAGAAAATAAGAAATGCTGGCAAGGATGTGGAGAGACTGGGACTCTCATACACTGCTGGTGGGACTGTCAAATGATACAACCACTGTGGAAAGCAGCATGGCAATTCCTTAAAAAGCTGGAATTAGAAATACCTTTTGATCCAGCAATCCCACTAGGTATATATTCTAAACAAGTGAGAGCCAGGACAAGAACAGACATGCACACCCATGTTCATCACAGCACTATTTACAATAGGAAAAAGATGGAAACGTCTCATGTCCCCATCAACAGAAGAATGGATAACCAAACTATGGTACATACACACAATGGAATACCATGCAACCCTAAAGAATGGCGTAGAATCTGTGAAACACTGCATAATGTGGATGAACTTAGAGGACATTATGCTGAGTGAAATAAGTCAATCACAGAATGACAAAAATTGTATTAGTTCATTATTGTAAAAATTCAAAGAAAGCTTATATATGGAAGGAAACTTTCTTTGTTGGTTACCAGGAATGGGAAGGGAGAGGAGGGAACACTGCTGCAGTGTAGCAAATTACATAGCATGGCTTTTCTAGCCATAGGCTCTGTAAACTCCTGGTAGAATTTGCCATGAGCAACTAAGTAGCTCCTGATTGTTAAAGTGTTCCACCCGGGTATTGCTGTTGAGAGCAGTATAAAGCAATTTTTTGAGAAGTTCACTCTCTCAGGCATGTGGAATTCTGGTGCTGGGATTGGTTGGTGTGGTCACTCTGCCAAGCTCCAAAGGAGCCCTCCTAGGGGCAGGAGTCTCTGCCAGCTGAGAAAGACAGTGCTGCTGAGAGAAACACTGCTGAGAGATGTAAGAGAGACATACCACTGAGAGAGAGATGTGCTACTGAGAGAGACTATCGGCTGAGAGCGGCCAGCTGAGAGACTGAGCATGTTTCTAAACTTGAATTGTTGCCTGTTGCTTCCCTAATAAACCCCATAATCTGTGAGTTCTATGTGGACACTGCAGAGAATTATCGAACCCACCAGAGAGGTGGTAGGTGTCACAGGAGAATGGTTGGTGACAAGGTTAGTAAGAGGGTTGGAGGGCAGCAGCATGTTTGGCCTCGTAAGAGCAGGCTTTGGGCTGCTGCTGATGATTCTGTCCTCTCATGTAGTTAGAGAAGGTCAGAAGATGCCTCCCTGTCCCTCTGGCAATTGCAAAAATAAAAAAGTAAATTTTAAAAAGATACCAAAAAAAAAGAAAAACATCAGACAAATCCTACCTGAGGAACATTCTAAAAAATACCTCACCAGTACTCCTCAAAACTGTCAAGGTCATCAAAAACAAGAAAATGATCATAGCCAAGTGAGGACTAAAGAGACATGACAATTAAACAGGTGGTATGCTGGATGGGATCCTAGAACAAAAACAAAAAGCAGTACTAAAAACTAAGAAAATCTGAATAAAGTATGTATTTTTGTTAATAAAAAATAATCAGTTTCTAAATTCTAACTTGAAAAATTAAATCCCATTTACAAAAGATTAACATAAAATAAATCAAACCAAACTCACTGCCGCTGAGTCGACTGCGATTCATAGCGACCTCCCGTTGGGTTTCCAAGGCCGTATCCCTACAGAAGTAGAGAGCCCAGTCTTCCTTCCGAGGAGTAGCTAGTGGGTTTGAACCGCCAGCCTTCTGGTTAGCAGTCAAATGCCTTAGAACCTATGCCACCAGAGCTCCCCTAACATAAAATATATACTATAAATTAATATAAGCTCTCTTGAAAACTTTAATATATTTATCCAAATATACTAGAATGCTTATAAGGTGGAGTATGTGATCTGAGTAAATAAAGTACCAAGGTAAGAAAGTGGCAAACTGAAGAACACACACCTTGTATAAAGGGACCGAAGCGTACCAAACAGTAATATAGGCTCCAGAGCACAAGATAGGCTTTTCCAACAGAAGCTTAAAATCTAGACTTCTATGTAAGTCTCTTAGATTTTAAATGTTGCCTTAATTTACTCTACAAGCCACTTGTGCTTTTATCCTTTTGCTTTGCTGTGGGTGTGTTTCCAAATAGCTATACATAAAGCAAATATTTCTGTGTAAAATCTTCCCTTTCTTTAGTAATATGTTTTACCAAAGTCAGACCCAACGTATAATAAAGATTGCCATTAAGATTTATAATACTAACTCAAGAATGTTTCAACACTTAATATTACAGGTTATTTATATTTGACTCTCCCAAATTGTTAATCAAATGGATAATTCATTCATAGAACTGCTGAAACTAAATTATTCAAAGAATTCCCCTCTGTATTCATTCTTACTAATTTCATGGTTTTAAATGTTTAAAGGGAGCTCTGGTAGCGTAGTGCCTAAGGCACTTGACTTGTTAACTAGAAGGTTGGCGGTTCAAACCCACCAGCCACTCCTCGGAAGGAAGATGGGGCAATCTACTTCCATAGTGATACTGCCGCAGAAACCCAAGGAGGGGTCAGTATGAGTAGGGTCTGACTCAACAGCACATAACAACAACAACAAGAAATGTTTAAAAGTGCCATCGTAATTATGCAAGGGATCTATACATTCAGTAGACATACTGAGATCTTCTGTAACACTTCTTCAACTTATAAAGTAGCTCCTAATTTCCTTCTATTCCAATAGTGATAACCCTGCTTTTAATAAACATTTGTTGACCTGAATGTCAAAGAGATGAAAAATCCTTGAAGGGTTAGCCTTTTATTAAAAGATCAGCTATAAACAGAAGGAAAAAATATGTGATTCTATAATCCAATAGATAGTACCAATATTATTCCTTTTCACTTCCCAGTCATCAAGGTAGAGAAAGACAAGCGTAGTGAAATTAATTACTTTATGTGAGCTTTAGGCTTCATTCTCTGGAAACAGAGCTTGAGAAATTTTCCCCAAAAGCAGTTAGGACTTACCTTTGCCCTAGTTTTCTGAACCTGAGGGTTTGTTACATTTGTGCCGATTGATTGACATTTCCCAGGTAAACTAAACAATTTGTAGTTTGATACTTTTTGTCTGGTCTTGCCCTCTGTCTGCCTTGATGTGGTGACTATATTCTATTAAGCAAAAAAAAGTTTCTGTAACTTTCTGAGAGGGGATTGGTCAACTTGTGCACCCTCACACACACACCCCACACTGGGAGGGGCCATACCTTAAAATTTACAAGGACTTATGCATATACGCAGCCAACCCCACAGAGGTTTTTCAAATAGAAAGAAGCAGGAAGAGAAGCTGCAGAAAGAAGCAGAAAGAGGAGGTTAAAAAAAAACCCTCCTAAAAGATTGTAACAAAGGTCAAGGTACACTGAAGGTGGCAAAAAGCCTCAAAAGGGTCCAGTAATAAAGCCCACAGCGATAAGCCCAGAAGGGGCCCAGCGGCAGAATTTAGTGGTGACAAATGGTAGGGCCAAGAGAAGCCCGTTCTGAGGGGGTGAAGAAGAATCCAGTGCAGTGTGTTGCTTAATATTGCTCTTCAAGACTATGCAAATGTGAGGTACTTGTGGCCTAAAAAGGAAACTTGGTAACTGTTAATTATGTAAGTAAGGTACATGCCACCCTTGTGGGGGTGGGACTATGCAAAGAATGTGTATGGAAACCTAATGTGGGGATTGGTCAGTTTTGCCATCTCACTGCACTTAAAATGAGCATCCTAAAGCTGGAAAGGGGGAGGGGATCTTACCACCATCAAGACGGAAAAGCCAAGAGGGGGGTATGTATTTTGGACCCAAGATTTCTGAACTAAAGTTCCTCAACGCAGGAGACACAGAACTGTAATACTTTGCTGAGATGGCAAGAGACAGTCAGAAGCAGCAACAGAGAAATGGTAGTAGCAGACCTGGAAGCAGACAGCACAGTGGGCTTCTGGACCCACAGAGTGAGAAAGCTGAGTGTGTGTGAGCCAAGGATTACTAGAGGAGTGGGGTGCTTCCAGGCAATGACTGGCAGAACTAAAAGAGCTTTGTAACACTTGCCCAAGTAGGGCAGAGGACAAGGCCAGAGAGAAGCATACCTGGCACATGGCTCAGAAGAGGCTGTCCTAACTGAAAAACTATGTCCTAAGTTGTTTCTGATCCTAAATTGCAACCTGTTACTTCCCTATTAAACCACATAATCCTGAGTAGTGTGTGTGTGTTCTGTTTGACCATTGTAACAATTTATTAAAGCCAACAGAGAAGTAAGAGAGTGGTTGGTGTCAGAATTGGTAAAACAAAAAAAAAGTCCAGGGTGAAGGCAGGTTGACCTCCACCTCACAAGAACCAGCCTTGAGCAGTTGATCTTGATCTTTCATCCCCCTTGTTAGAGGAGATAAGACCCTATTCCAAGACCTTTTTGCAAGGACCCTGTCCTCAGGGGGCCAAGAAGAGCCTTGCATGGCCAAGAGAAGCTGAGAGAGGCTTCCTACCTGAAAAGGAGATTTTGCCCACATGCTTCCTGATCCTAATCCTGACCCTGATTTGTAGCCTGTTGATACTAATCTCAGGCTGTACAGTTATTTACTTAATAAACTACTTAACCATAAGTATGGTCTGTGAGTTCCACGTGGCCACTGCAATGGGTTATCAACCCAAGAAAAAAGTAGAGTGGCGGGGGAGGAATGGCTGTGTCAGAACTTGTGAAGTTTGGAGTGTGGCGTTATGTCTGATTTCTGCCTCACAGGAATCAGCTTTGAGCTGATCTTAATCATTACCCCCCTGAAGTTAGAAAGGTTCTGACACTATTATTACTCCTATTTAGACTTTATAATAAGGCAAATATTGCTGAAAAGAAGAGAACTGTAGGAAGTAGCTCCTATTACACACCAACCTTTCTAGAGACTTCTTATGCTTTTCAAATCTGGGAATTTACACATTGCGTTTACCCAGTAAGTGTTTCTTAACCAGGAGTTGTATCAGAATCTTGAAGAAGTATTTATTGCAATTCAGATTTACTGAGCCAGAATCTTTAGGGGCGGAATCTAGGTTTGAAATTTTTTTAAAAAAGTTCCCCAGGTGTAATAGGAGCTCTGGTAGCGTAGTGCCTAAGGCATCTGACCACTAACCAGAAGGCTGGCAGTTCAAACTCACCAGGCACTCCTGGGAAGGAAGGTTGGGCAATCTACTTCCGTAGTGATTCCTCCTGGGAAAACCCAAAGAGGGGTCACTATGAGTCAAGTCCGACTGGACGGCACCTAACAGCACAACACAGATGGTATAAGGGGTAGGGCATTTTGTTGCTAACCAGAACGCTGGAAGTTCAGCCCCACCAGCTGCTCTAGGGGAGGAAGATGAGGCAATCTACTTCCATAAAGATTTACAGCCTTGGAAACCCAGTGGGGGGCACTGTGAGTTGGAATCAAGTATATATGAAAAAAATTATATTATGTCTGGAATTAGCTTCAAAATAGTCTTCTCAGAAGTGGGAATGAACAGTGATGGGTATAGAAGAAATAAGATTAGCAAAGTGCCTAAGGAATTTGACTGCTAACCAGAAGGCTGGTGGTTGAAACCCACCAGCCCCTCCTCGGAAGGAAGGTTGGGCAATCTACTTCCATAGTCATATTGCCTCCCTTGGAAACCCAAGGAGGGGTCACTATGAGTCAGGTCCTACTCCATGGCACAAAACAACAGGTAATTGTGAAGCACAAATCTAGCTGAGAACTAGTGCAGTGACAATCACTTCAGACTCATCTCTCACCCAGATGCCTTTATCATTTAGGGATTTGGCAAAAAAAGAGACACAGAGTCATTTACTGAGAATTGCTTCTCATTTTGCTGGCTAGAGATCTAATGGGACTAGAAAACTCAAGCTGCATCTTGATTCATTATTCATCAGCTCCTTCTTCCCACCTTCTTCCATTAAGCTATTCTAGATTTAAGAATAGAGTTTAGACTCTTATCTAAGTGGTAGTTTCTGCCAGAATAGGATAATATGTCAGATATTTTTCTGTTCTTCCCTCTCGTTTCTTACCACTGTTCATTGCCAATCTGGTTCCCTCACTTAATCACCACTGTTTACTGCCAATCTGGTTCCCTGACTGTATGCCTCAAATTGATCTCTAGTCAAGTTTACAACTCACTCACTCTTTCCTGAACTCAGAATTATTATCTTCAAAACTGAAGAGCACCTTGCCTAAACACATAAAACTCGGTGGGGGGTGGAAAGGGGGTATCGCCACTTGGTACTTTTCCTCAATTATCAAATTTCAGAATTAGCTTGCATATTTCTGATTCTCTCTCCTTTTTACTTTTCTTCTTTGTCTTTTAAGCTTTGGCCACTGAGAGAAGTCACTTTTATATTAAACACATTTTTTTAATAAAATACTCATTAGCAGCACAGACTCCTGTAAAATGCTTGTGTTTTAATTTTTAATAACCCTATTTCCAAAGTAAATTTCCTGTGTTGTTTTACACTAATTGAAAAAAAAAAAAAAAAACTTGGATAGTGTTATGAATTAAACTGTGTCCCTCAAAAATATGTCACCTAAGTTAAGGAAAGGTTTATATATTGGAGGACATTTTCTTTGTTGGTTACCAGGGGTGGGAGGGAAGGGGAGGGAATGCTGTTAGATAGATAGAGATAAATATTGATTTGGGTGAAGAGAAGGGCAATGTACCAAATGTGAGTGACCAATATGGCAGCATTGAGGATGAGAAAGACAGAGAGAGTTACATGGGCAGTACAAACAACAAATATGAACCCCTTTGCAAAGACAATACTGAGTTGTCAATGAAAGCAAACATGGGTATAGGGATGGATAGATGGGTGAACAAGCTAAACAATTATGTATGTCTAAAAGGAGAGTGTATCCAAGATCATATACAGGGTTGGCAGACAATGGGCCTCTCAGGGTGCAGAAGAGTATGAAGGGATGGACACTGGGAGGAGGTAACTATGGGGAGGAAGTGGGAGGGGAGCTGCTGCATTGTAAATTTTGGTCAATGACATGAGACAAAGTATATGTGAACTGCTGTATGAAAAGTGAATTTACTCTGTAAATCTTCACCCAAATCCTAATAAAATAAATAAATAAATAAATAAATAAATAAAATGTCACCTTGGATAGGCCATGAGTCTCAGTAGTCTGGCAGTTATGTACTCAGGTAATATGGTGTAATCATCCCCATGATGTGATCTGATAACATCAGTCAATCAGTTGTGAGGGATTTAGAGTGGGAGGCAACCTTTACTCAGGTCACAGCCCTGATCTGTTAGAGGTACTTCCTAGGGGTGTGGCTTGTATCACCTTTTATCTTATAAGAGATGAAAGGAGAGAGAAATGAGCAAAGATCGAAGGGACCTCAGTACCAACAAGAAAGAAAAGCCAGGAGTAGAGTGTGTCTTTTGGACCTGGGATTCCTGCATTGAGACTGTCACAGACCCAGGGGAAGACTGATGCCAAGATATATGTAGATCTCCAAGGATGCTGGGCCCACAAGTAATGAAAAGAGACAAAGACTTTCCTTCCCCCTAAACTGGAGCTTATAGAGAAAGAAAGCCTTCCCTGGAGTTGGTGCCTAGAATTCAGACTTCTAGCCTGAATAAGTGTCTTTTTTCAAAGCTACTCACTTGTGGTATTTTTGTTACAGCAGCACAAGATAACTAAGATAGATAAGAAGAGATATTTGAAAAAGCTTCACTTTTAACAAATTTAGTGTTTTCACAAATATTTGCCAGAAATGCATAAAAGTAGATGTACTCTCTAGTGTTTCTTTTAGAAGTATCACAGAAAGTAAACTCCTAAACAATTAAGTTATTCCAAAATATTTTCATTCAAAGAATGCTTGAACTTCCAAATACATAAAATAGGCCACACTTACATCAAACATTTTTAAAAGTCTTTATATTTTGTAAATACAGTTGTTTAATCAATACCTTATTTGTTGCTTCAATATCAGCATTGTGTGAAAGCAGTTTTTCAGCTACTGATATATTCTCATCATAGACAGCATAGTGAAGGGCAGTGTTGCCACTGATGTCTGTAAGATTTGGGTCAGCACCATGTTCTAGCAGAATAGTTGCACATTCCTCTTCCTGGCACTGTATAGCCTATCAGTATTACAAGGAGAAATAGAGTGTAAATACTAAGAATTAGAAGTATATTCCATACACCCACTATAATAGCTTTGATTTAAAAAAAAAAACAGAAAATAACAAGTATTAGTAAGAATGTGAAAAATTAGAACCATCATGTATTGCTGGTAGGAATGTAAAATGGTGCAGCCACTGTGGAAAACAGTTTGATGGTTCCTCAGAAAGTTAAACATAGAACTACATATGACTTATGTCATATGTATGACCTATATATGGCAGGTTTCAGGTAGGAATTAGGTAAGAGGAGGGTTGAGAAGTTTCCAACAACTAAGGGAGACAAACTTGTCTGTCAGTTTGTCATCCTGTGAGGCTTGTATGTTGCTGTGAGGCTTGAAGCTGTGCCACTGGTGTTTCAGATGCCAGCAGAGTTGCACATGGTAAACAGGTTTCAACATAGCTTACAGACTAAGACAGACTAGGAAGAAGGACGAGGTCATCCACTTCTCAAAAATTGGCCAGGGAGAACCTTATGAATAGCAGAGAAACACTATCTGATACATTATTAGGCAACTTAATGAATAGCTTAGAAACACTGTCCAACACAGTGAAACAAGACTAGCCCCTTGCGTTGGAAGGCACTCAAAAGAGGACTGGGAAAGAGCTGCCTCATTAGAGTAGAACCAACCTTAAAGATATGGATAAAGTAAGTCTTTCAGGACCTCCATGTGCTGACGTGTCACGACGCAAATTGAGGAGAAACAGCTTTAAACATCTATTAATAATCAGAACGTGGAATGTACAAAGTATGAATCTAGGAAAATTGTAAGTTGTCAAAAATAAAATAGAACACATAAAGATTGATATCCTAGGCACTGGTGAGCTGAAATGGACTGGTTTTGGCCATTCTGAATCAGACAACCATATGATCTACTATGCCAGGAATGACAAACTGAAGAGGAATGGCATGGCATTCGTCATCACAAAAGATGTTTCAAGATCTGTCCTGAAGTACAATGCTGTGTATTATCAGTGATAGGATAATATTCATATGCCTACAAGGAAGACTAGTTAATATAACTATTATTCAAATTTATAAACCAACCACCAAAGCAAAAGATGAGGAAATTGAAGATTTTCATCAACTTCTGCAGTCTGAAATTGACCGAACATGCAATCAAGATGTGTTGCTTATCACTGGTGACAGGAATGCAAAAGTTGGAAACAAAGAAAATTCACCAGTAGTTGGAAAATTTGGCCTTGGTAACAGAAATAACACTGGAGATTGCATGATAGAATTTTGCAAGACCAACGACTTATTCATTGCAAATATCTTTTTTCAACAACACAAACAGCGGCTATACACATGGACTTCATGAGACAGAGTACACAGGAATCAGACCAACTGGCTACTTCTGTGGCAAGAGGCCTTGGAAAAGCTCAATATCTTCAGCCAAAACCAGGCCAGGAGCTGATTATGGAACAGACCATCAACAGCTCATATGCAAGTTCAACGTGAAGTTGAAGACAATTAAAACAAGTCCATGAGAGCCAAAATATGATCTTGAATATATCCCTCCTGAATTTAAAGACCTTGCCCTTGATTGAAGAGTAGCTAAAGCAAATGGAAGAAATGACAAGATAAAAGACCTCAACAAAAAGATTTCAAAGAGCAGCTTGAGCAGACAAAGCCAATTACTATAATGAACTGTTCAAAGACCTGGAGTTAGAAAACCAAAAAAGAAGAACATACTTGGCATTTCTCAAGCTGAAAGAACTGAGGAAAAAATTAAACCTCGAGTTGCAATATTGAAAGATTCTATGGGCAAAATATTGAACGATGCAGGAAGCATCAAAAGAAGATGGAAGGAATACAGAGTCACTGTACCAAAAAGAACTGGTCGATGTTCATCCATTTCAGCATGTGGCATATGTTCAAGAACCAATGGTATTGAGGGAAGAGGTTGAAGCTGCACTGAGGGAACTGGTGAACAAGGCTCCAGAAATTGACAGAATACCCACTGAGATGTTTCAACATATGGATGCCTCACTGGAGGCACTCACTCAGTTATGCCAAGAGATTTGGAAGACAGTTACCTGGCCAACTGACTGGACGAGATCTATATTTGTACCCATTCCAAAGAAAGGTGATCCCACAGAATGTGGAAATTATCGAACAATATCATTAATATCACATGCCAGTAAAATCTTACTGAAGATAATTCAAAAACGATTGTAGTAGTACACTGACAGAGAACTTCCAGAGATACAGGTGGGATCCAGAAGAGGACGTGGAATGAGGGATATCATTGCTGATGTCAGATGGATCTTGGCTCAAAGTAAAGAATACCCGAAAGATGTTCACTTGTGTTTTATTGACTATGCAAAAGCATTTGACTGTGTGGATCATAACAAATTGTGGATAACACTGAGAAGCATGGAAATTCCAGAACACTTAATTGTACTCATGAGGAACCTGTATAAAGACCAGGACACTGTCGTTCAAACAGAAAAAGGGAATACTGCATGGTTTAAAATCAAGAAGGGAGGGCATCAGGGTTGTATCCTTTCACCATACTTACTCATTCTCTATGCTGAGCAAATAATCCAAGAAGCTGGACTATATAAAGAAGAGTGTGACATCAAGATTGGAGGAAGAATCATTAACAACCTGCGATATGCTGACGACACAACTTTGCTTGCTGAAAGTGAGGATGACTTGAAGTACTTACTGATGAAGATTGAAGAATATAGTCTGCAGTATGGATTACATCTCAATATAAAGAAAACAAAAATCCTCACAACTGGACCTATAAGCAGCATTACAGTAAATGGAGAAAAGATTGAAAATGTCAAAGACTTCACATTGCTTTGTTCTACAATCAATGCCAATGGAAGCAGCAGTCAGGACATCAGATGATGTATAGCTTGGGCAAGTCGGCTGCAAAGGATCTCTTTCAAGTGCTGAAGAGCAAAAGATGTCTCCTTGAGGACGAAAGTGAGACTGACACAAGCCACAGTATTTTCAATCACCTTATATGCATGCGAGAGCTGGACAATGAATAAGGAAGATCGAAGAAGAGTTGATGCTTTTGAACTGTGGTGTTGGCGAAGAACGCTTAAAGTACCGTGGACTGCTAAAAGAACTAACAGGTCTGTCCTAGCGGAAGTACAGCTAGAACGCTCCTTGGAGGTGAGAATGGCCAGACTTTGTCTCACATACTTTGGTCATGTTGTCAGAAGGGACCATTCCCTGGAGAAGGATGTCATGCTTGGTAAGGTGAAGGGTCGACGACAGAGGGAAGGCCCTCAATGAGGTGGATTGACACGGTGGCAGTGGCAATGGGCTCAAGTGAAGCAAGAATCATGGAGCTGGTTCAGGACCAGGCAGTGTTTCATTCTGCTGTGCATAGGGTCACTATGAGTCAGAGAAAACTCGATGGTACTTAACAACACATACGACCCAGATACCCCACTCTTAGGTATACACCCAAAAGAATTGAACGTAGGGACTCAAACAGATATTCATACACTAGTGTTCATTACAGCATTATTCACAACAACAAAAAGGTAGAAGTAAACCAAGTGACCATCAACAGATGAATGATAAAATGGAGTATAGCCATACAATGCAATATTATTCAGCCACACAGCAAAATAAAATGCTGATACATGCTACAATAGGGATGGACCTTGAAAACATTTTGAGATGTGAAAAGAGCCAGACACAAAGGACAATGTATGATGCCACTGATATAAAATATCTAGAATAAGAAAACACATAGAAACAGGAAATCAATTAGAGCTTACAAGGGCCTAGTGGAAAGGGAATGAGGAGTTATTGTTTAATGAGTAAAAATTTCTGTTTGGGATAATCAAGAAGTTTTACATATGCTGTTGTTGTTGTTGTTATGTGCGAGTCGGACCCGACTCATAGCAACCCCTTCTTGGGTTTCTGAGGTGGTATCACTACAGAAATAGATTGTCCAACCTTCCTTCCGAGGAGTGGCTGGTGGGTTTGAACCACCAGCCTACAAATAATATAAATAACTGTAAAACATAATGGCAATGGTTGCATAGCACTGTGAACATAATTAATGCTACTGACAAGTACACATAAAAATAGCAAATTTTATATATTTTACCATAAATTATCACAATAAATTCTTTAAAGTAAATATTTCAAATATTTTACCAGTTCGTTATATTTAAATGAGAAAACTTCATTTTTATTTCAAGTATTTAAAGCAAATCCATATTGTACTGAAATAGCTGGCTACTATATACCTTAATTAGAGCTGTCCTGTTTTCATCATCACAGAGGTTAAGCTGGCATTTTCTCTCTACCAGGAGAGTTACCACTTCTACGTGACCATTGGCACAGGCCAAATGTAGAGCAGTCCTATGAAAGTAGGAGGGGTTTTTAGAAAATTATAATGCACTATGTCAGATACATATAATTATTCATGTAATGGTAAACATTACACAACATATTATTCCTATAACTTCAAAACAAATACTTGATTTTCTTCTAAAAAAATTTAAATATTTGTTAGCACTAATTACTCACTACATTAATGAAAAGAACAGCCTATTTTAAAAGGAAGAACACGACCTTTGGATTCAGCACAAGTTGGACTTGAATCCTACTCTGTCACTTATTAGCTGTCATTTAGCTTTACTATTCTCAATTTCCTCATTATTAAAACAGTAGCTATCTCACAGACCACTACCATGATCTGCAAATAAGAACCTATGCAAAGTGTTTAGAACAATTCTTAATACAAATACCAGCTCAACAGTTGCTATTAGTATTTTTTTACTATTATTATCACTACTACATACTGAACAAAGACAGCATTTCAACTTGGTCAAAGATGCAATTGTATCTACTTTGCAGATATATATCATGAATTAGAGATAACACTATTTCAATGATTCTAAAGTGCTCAAGTTCTCACATTTTAACAACTTTGACACTGAAATGTAACTTATAAGTAATGATGCTTTACAAGTATAACTGGCACCATTTTAAAAATTTCTTACCGACACATAAAATAGGACATCTTACAATCCATGATACCTCACATTAAGTGAAATATAGTATTCAAGTAAATTTTTCCTAACCATTATGGGGAAAGAAGTTGAAATAACAAAACAAAATAGAAATTAAAAGATAAAATAATTCTTTCTTTGATTTTGAGGAAACTTTAACTCAGCCAAAGGAAACTGAGGAACCAAATGAATAGATATGTTGTTGTGTTGTTGTTGTGTGCCGTTGAGTCAGCCCCGACTCATAGCGACCCCTCCTTCAGTTTCCGAGGCAATATCACTACGGAAGTAGGATTGCCCAAACTTCCTTCCGAGGAGTGGATGAATAGATATAGCTCACTTTATTCAATATTTATATTTAGAGAATGTATGTAAATCAGATATTTCCAATGATTAATAGGAGTATTTAATACTGTTATCAATTTTTAAAAGGTAGTTATTAGGTGATTTTTTACAATTATCTACCTTCAGAAAAGCTTTAATTCACATTAAGTCCCAATATTTCAATTTCAAATTTCTCAACTTGCTCAAACTGAGCATTGATGTTTTTAAGGATGAAAGGGACCTGAGAGATAATAGAATTTGCTACTAGGTGTTCAGGTTATGTTTGATGAACATATGGGTGCAAAGATGATTGAAGGAAAAAATAAATTAAGTTGGGAAGTTCAGTATTTTTTAAAAAAATTGATAAAATACAATTTCTATTTTTTATCATTACATTCCTATGTGGGTATGTACTTTAGTGCCCAGAGTAATAATATGATTAATCATAACCATTGATGTATAGGTCCATATATATTAAAAATATATGTATATAATAAAATAATAATACATATAAACACAGAGTAATAGAGTCCTTTCTGAAGAAGTTAAACATTGGTAGAAAATACTAATCCTCAAAAAAAAAAATTATTAGAAAGTGAAAGATTATTTTCATCTGTGTAAGATTCATATTCTAATTTTCCAAGGATGATTTCATTATTAATAAACTTTTAGTAGAATTTTTATACAAGTGTTGATTATAGAAATCAGAAATCACAGATAAGAAAAATTCATTTATAATACAAACACCTGGAATTTTATACATATTTTATACACATTTTATACATATTTTTGGCTACCATAAGATCATAGTCAGTGTGTGTGTGTAATCAAATTGATATTCTCATTGAATAATTATCAAAATATACATTTGCATGTCAACATACATCTGTGACAATTTCAATGGTCGCGTAATATTCCAACCTATGGGTGCACTGCAATTTATTTTTAAAATTATAGGGGTTCTTCATGATACGGTGCTATGTTAAGCAGTTCTTAGAAAAACAGTGTATATTACAATCTTCTAAGGAACCGTGTTGGCGCAGTGGTTAAGTGCTCGGCTGCTAACTGGAAGGCTGTGGGTTTGAACCCACAGCCACTCCACGGGAGATGTGGCACTCTGCTGCCCTCAAGATTACAGCCTTGGAAACCTCATGGGGTACCTGGTCTGTCTTACAGGGTTACTTTGAGTCACAAATGACTTGAGAGCAATGAGGTTTATATTACATTTCTCTAACAATTTCCTGGGAGCTCTGGTAGCATAGTGGCTAAGACACTTGACTGCTAACCAGAAGGCTGGCGGTTCAAACCCCCCAGCCACTCCTCGGAAGGAAGGTTGGGCAATCCTACTTCCGTAGTGATACTGCCTCGGAAACCCAAGGAGGGGACGCTATGACTCGGGCCGACTTGTCGATGGCACGTAACAACAACAACAACAACAATTTCCTAAAGATACTTAAAAACAAATAGAATGGATGGATACACGGAATAAGCATCTTAAAACTTCCAGCAGTATACACTTCCGTTACACCTCATCTTCACAAACTTTGGGGGTAGAAAATGATTTCATTTCTCTTATAACTTAAATGTCTTCTCTTACCAGGGACACCAAGTAATTTACCTGTTCCTTTTATCTCTGTCATTCAAGCCATTTTTACCGAGCAAAAGAATCTGTTGAACCTTCGCGACGTCACCCACACTGGCAGCTCTGTGGATCTTCCCGAGATCTTTGTCTCGGATGTGGTACCCGTGCGGTGAGTTGACGCTTTTGCTATTCTCATCCCCGACGCCCGCGCTTTCCCTCCTCAGGCTGGTGGAGGAGCCAGAGGCCGGCTTGCACTTCTTACTCCCAAAGCCGAAAATCTTCTTCATCACAAAGCGGGCAGGTTTCAAAGGCACTTAAAAGAATAAATAAATAAACAAAAATAAAACTGTCAAAGACACCTCATCTCATACCCAGCTTTTTGTCACCAGCTGAGTGCAATATCACCGCTAAAGATAACCCAACCCTGTCTCGGCACAACTTCCCCAACCAGGGAAACTGGCGGTTAAGACCCTAGCAGCCCAGAACTGTAGCCTAGCAACAGAAATGCGCTTGCGCACTTCAGTAGACGGCGTTCAATACGCATGCGCTTAGAGGCCCGCGCGCAAGATGTCCAGTGCGCCTGTGCAAGGTTCGGACGTCTCAAATCTCGATGATGGAGTCCCTGGTCTGGTTTCCTGCCATCTTCACTGGCATTTGGGTGTTCCTACAGACTTGCGGGGAGCTCTGGTAGCGCAGTGCCTAAGGCATTTGACTGCTAACCAGCGGGCTGGCAGTTCAAACCCACCAGCTGCTAACCAGAGGGCTGGCAGTTCAAACCCACCAGCTGCTAACCAGAGGGCTGGCAGTTCAAACCCACCAGCTACTCCTCGGAAGGAAAGTTGGACAATCTACTTTCCTAGTGCTACTGACTCGGAAACCCAAGGAGGGGTCGCAGTGAGTGGGGTCCGACTCCACTGCACATAATAACAACAGACCTGCGAGAGGAACACTCGTGCCAGGAGAAAGCAATCTTTGGTCAAGGCTGAGTCTAGAGTCGCGTGTACTTTACGATTCTGACGACTTCGACTGGAGAAAACTCTCCGAACAACTCTGCATCTCTTTATTCCTTGGTTTATTCCTCTTCCACATCCCTCTGGGCCCCAGCCACTGTCCTTGGCAATGTAGTGGATGCAACAACAAAAGGTAGTTTTCCAGATTTCATAGATTGTGGCAATATGTGTAACCAAGTGAAATTTTTGAGGAAAAACCCATTCACATTCTCCAGATGAAATTAAAACTCATTTCCATGTTAGGCCTCCCTCCCCTCCCCCTTGGCACAACCTTTTATTTATTTATTTATTTGCTTTCATTTTTCCCAATTAAATGTTTAACCAATCCAAGATTTATTTTCGAGCATGGTGTAACACTTAAAAACTTCTTTAAATGTGTTGCTCATTGTGGCAAACTTTTCTCACCTAGTTTAAAATGGCACTTGATCATATGTTAAATTCTAAATTTGTGTATTTCTGGATTTCCTACTCTGTTCCATTTAATGGGCTGCTTCTTGCATTAATACTCCACAATTTTAATTTATTTATCTAGAAAATATGTCATAATATCTGTTAAAATTACAAACTTCCCCTTTTTCAATATTTTCGTGGCAGTGTTTTCCTCTATATTATTTGAGATGGATTTTTTTTTTCTCTTTTTATTTTTCTATTAGGATTTGGGTGAAGATTTACAGAGTAAATTCACTTGTCATACAGCAGTTCACATATACTTTGTCTCATGTCATTGACCAAAATTTACAATGCAGCAGCTCCCCTCCCACTTCCTCCCCATAGTTACCTCCTCCCAGTGTCCATCCCTTCATACTCTTCTGCACCCTGAGCTATCTCCCTGTGCATAAGCAGCCCTTCCTTCTCCCATGATTGTTCTCTCCAGGGTGTGTGTCTACTTGAGGTAAATGTTTAACTCACATGCCTGTACTTTGTTTGGCTGGAAACCACAGGTGTGGGTTCAATTCCAGACCTGAAGGGCAGCTAGGGGCCATAGTCTCAGTGGTTACACCAGGCTCCATTGGACCAGCAAACCTGGTCCCCACCTTCTTCTTTTTTTTTTTTTTTTGCCTCCAAATGATTTTGAGTTTTGTACCACATTGTTCTCCCTCTTTATGCAGGATCTCCTACATCCCTTCCAAGTGGATGGCAGTGGTAGCTGGGCACCATCTAGTTCTTCTCGTCTCATAGTTGTATAGGTTGCAGATCAGATGGTGTACCAGTCGCTAGGTCTGATTATTTCCATTAATTTTGGTTTTCTTCTTTCTTCTTGACGAGGAGAGACCCGTTGTTGCATCTAGATGGCAGCTTCCTAGCTTTTAAGGTCCCAGTCGCTACTCGCCAAAGTAGTAGGTGGAACAATGTTTTGTATAGTATGTTATGCCAAGTGAGTTTGATGTCCCCTGCGACTATGGTCCCAAGCCCGCAGGATCAAATACTCGGTCCCTCTGGGTAGCTGGCTATGACCAAGTAATGACCATAACCTTGCCCCTTGTCAGCTCTACTATACACCTGGGAATTCTGATCATTCACATGAACTTATAGGCCCATTGTCTGCCAACCCTGTATATGATCTTGGATACACTCTCCATTTAGACATACCTAATTGTTTAGCTTGTTCACCCATCTATCCATCCCTATACCCATATTTGCTTTCACTGACAACTCAGTATTGTATATGCAAAGGAGTTCATATTTATTGTTTGTACTGCCCATGTAACTCTCTCTGTCTTTCTCATCCTCAATGCTGCCATATTGGTCACTCACATTTGGTACATTGCCCTTCTCTTCACCCAAATCAATATTTATCTCTATCTATCTAACAGCATTCCCTCCCCTTCCCTCCCACCCCTGGTAACCAACAAAGAAAATGTCCTCCAATATATAAACCTTTCCTTAACTTTTACAATAACGGACTAATACAATATTTGTCCTTTTGTGACTGACTTATTTCACTCAGCATAATGTCCTCCAAGTTCATCCACGTTATGCGGTGTTTTGCAGATTCTACGTTATTCTTTAGCGGTACCAAAGTTTGGTTATCCATTCCTCAGTTGTTGGACATCTAGGTTGTTTCCAAGTTTTGGCTATTGTAAATAGTGCTGCGATGAACATCGACGTGCATATATCTGTTCTTGTTATGGCTCTAACTTCTTTAGGGTATATACCTAGTAATGGGATGGCTGGGTCAAATGGTATTTGTATTTCCAACTTTTGAAGGAATCGCCATACTGCTTTCCACAATGGTTGTACCATTTTACAGTCCCACCAGCAGTGTATGAGAGTCCCAATCTCTCCACAACCTCGCCAGCATTTGTTATTTTCTGTCTTGTTGAACTTTGATACTAGTGCTGGAGCAAGATGGTATCTCATTGTTGTTTTGATTTGCATTGAGATGGATTTTTAACCACCATGCCTAATTAACATAGTGCCCAAGGCACTTGACTGCTAACCAGAAGGCTGGGGTTCGAACCCACCAGCCACTCCTCAGAAGGATGGTTGGGCAATCTACTTCGGTAGTGATAACACCTTGGAAATGCAAGGAGGGGTCGCTTGCAGACTGGAGGTCACATAACAACAATTATAATGAAATGTGCAAAGCCCTAGAGTTAGAAAAAACAAAAGGGAAGAAAATTTGCCATTTCTTAAGCTGGAAGTACTGGGGGCGGGCAGGGAGAAGGGGATCAAACCTCAAGTTGCAGTAGTGAAAGATTCAGGAAACGTCAAAAGATGGAAAGAATACGAGGCACTGTACCAAAAAGAATTGGTTAATGCTCATCTATTTCAGGAGGTGGCATATGATAAAGAACCAACAGTATTAAGGGAAGAAATTGAAGGTACACTGAAGGAATTGCTGAAAAACAAGGCTCCAGGAATTGACAAAGTATCATTGAGATGTTTCAACAAACCAATGCCGTACTGGAGGCACTTAATCATCTATGCCGAGAAATTTGGAAGACAGCTGCTTGAAGCTAACTGGAAGAGATCCATATTTGTATCCATTCCAAAGAAAGGTGAGCCAACAGAATGTGGACATTATTGAATAATACCACTAATATCAAATACAAGTAAAATTTTACTGAAGATAATTCATAAACAGTTGCAGCAATATATAGACAGGGAACTTCAAGCTGGATTCAGAAGAGGACGAGGAATGTCTGATGTCAGATGGATCTTAGCTAAAAGCAAAGAATACCAGAAAGATGTTTACTTGTGTTTTATTGACTATGCAAAAGCATTTGACTGTGTTGATCGTAGCAAAGTATGCAAAAAATGCACAAAGAAAGGATATTAAAGCAGAAACTTAATGAGTAGGAATTAACCAGTGAGAGAAGATAAAATCGAAAGAAGCTCATTCCAACAAAAAGGGATAATATATCAGTGTCCAATGGTGGGGGGGGGGAGACAGTAATTTGAACAGGAAAAGCTTAAAACAGTTGTGGTGGTTATGTTTATGTGTCAACTTGGCTGGGCCTCGTTGAGTGGCTGGGCAGCTGGTGGTAGTTATTCCCCATGAAGAGACTGTCAATCAACTCCATGGTGAGATCTACCACAAGCAGCTGAGTAGCTGCTTTGGGTATGTGGTCTGCTTCCTGTATAAAAGAAGCAGCTTTGGGAATGGTTTCTAGCTTATGTCATGCTTGGAGGCTGCAGGTAGTTGTGTCATCACTCAGCAGCCTGCCATGCTCTGCCGACCTTGGGACTTAAAATAGACTTGAATTAATGGCCTGCCGTGTGGTTTGATAACATCGGGACTGTGCCATTGTCATGACATTGACTACAGTTGTGGGAACAATCCCATTTCCTCCGCATAGTTACCTCTTCCCTGTGTCCATCCCTGTACTCCTATCCTCAAGCTATCTCCCTGTACATACACAGCCTTTCTATTCTCCTAAGATTGATCTCTCTTAGGAGTGTATCTACCTAATGTAAATGTTCAGCTTGTATGCCTGTCTGGCTGGCAGCCACAGGAGTGGGTTTAATTCCAGACCTGAAGGGCAGCTAGGGGCCGTAGTCTCAGGGGTTCCACCAGACTCTATCAGACCAGCAAACCTGGTCCTTTTTTTTTTTTTTTTTTTGTTTTTGGGTTTTGTTCCACATTGTTCTCCCACTCTATCCAGGATCTCCTACATAGATTCCCCCTCCATGTGGTTGACAGTGGTAGCTGGGCACCATCTAGTTCTTCTGGTCTAAGTTTCAGTCATATATCAAACCTACAAGCTTTTGATTAGCAGTCGAGCATGTTAAGTGTTTGCACCACCCAGGAACTTAAGAATATTTTATGGTGGGAGAATACTCAAGGAAAGAACAACTTGGAATGGAATAATGCCCCAGGGCTGGGGTTCAGACCTCACTGGAGAAGGTGTGGTTGCCGCCCATTGCATAATGGAGAAGTTCATTGAGTTGCCCAGGCCTTAACTGGTCCACAGTCATTGGGCAAGTGGGAAAAACCCTTCAGGAGTTCAGGGGGCCCACTATGGTGGATGCACAGAGGGTTTCAAGGCATCAAGCGCCCACTTACTAGCAGAGCAATGCAAGGCTTGAG